CGGCTTCAGCATGCCAAAAAACCTTTAGAAAGTGTTTTTTCCAGATGCCCTCCCAGACAATTTTGACAAAATACCCCATAGTCTCATAAAATTTTACCCCAAATGGGGGGATCTTACTTTTGGTGAAAATTGTCTGGGAGGACATCTGGAAAAAACACTTTCTAAAGGTTTTTTGGCATGCTGAAGCCGAATTTTTGGGTTTCAGGTCAAAAAAATCAGGGGTTAAGGGGTTATGGCCCCTGACCCCCCTAGGGGGTGGGGGGAGTTGGAGGGCACATGACCCAAAAAATTTCTCTCATCATTCTGAACAACTTTGTAGAACATAATTTGTGTCTTGTCTGCATTTCGATTTTATTTATGGAATTTTCAATTGTGTTCATCCTCTTTAATCCTTTCATATCTTGTATTGTGCACTTTTTGGGTGAAAGAGGCGACGCAATATTAACATTTTGTATGTATATGAACGAACGCGTCACTGAACAATGGTCTCTTTGAAACGCCGTAACTTATAGGTCTGTGAATGAATTCGTCTGGAATTTTTTCAGTAGTCTAGAGACAGATGGTACTTTTAAAAAATAAAGAGATTTTTCTATTCGTGATGCGATTTGGTAGTCATAGCAAAGACTTATTGGTTCACCCAATATATCAAAAAAAATTCAGATTTACAGTATTGCGTCACAGTGAGGACTTCGAAAGAAGTGTTTTCTACTTATTATTCTAAAACATTACACTACAATTTGCGAATTTCTTGAACACAAAGACCAAGTTGATAAAACCTCTATCTGTTTCTGTGAGTTAGTTTTTTTTACCTGATCGAGTGATTTGCCAGCTACTTCGATTCCATTCACTTCAAGCACTTCATCATTTACTGCTAAAAGGCCTGTTCCTTCTGCCAAACCACCAGGCACCAAACGTGATATAAATATTCCTGGTTGTTTTTCGAGTCCATTTGCGGTCACACGAAATGACGTACCATCACTAATGAAAAAATTAATTATCGTTGAAATTTTTTAATTGCCTAATTAAATTATATTAAAATGTTTACCGAATATAAAATCCAAGTGGTTTATCACTGCCGTGCTTTAAAAGCTTAACACGTCTACAAGTTTCAGGCACTTGGTCAACATCTATAATAGCTGAAACTTGTCGAAAATCATGAGGATTTGAAATAGCCAATGTCTTCGATTTGGCAGGTGTTTGTCCCAAAATGCTACTGATAATATTTGTCCGTGTTTTCATTGTTCCATAACCAGTGATTTCTTCTAAGCTATCGCCTTTTCTTTGTATTATGAGACGAAGTAGAGGTCTGGCAGTTGAGAGTGCTCGTACAAAATTATCATCATTGTTTATTGGTAATAGGTCATTATCACGTGGATCAATATATGATATTAGTAATTCAATGTCTTTTGCATCATGTAAAAGTTCGATCATTTTATAGAAATCATCGAAGCTCTTTGTTTCTAAGCGTTTCATTGACCAGCGTCGAAACTCCGCATCAAACTATTGAAATGGAACAGAAATATGATAGCAAACGATTGAAATATATTCTTCTCACAATCGTATTTCAAATTGAAAAAGAGAAAATATATAAATGAAAATGATTTGCTTTCACTGCTGCCGTCTAATGCATCCATCAGTATAGGCAATGTAAGATTTCGTAGTTTCGTGATCACAAATAAATATAGATATAAAAAAACGTAACTTTTTTTTTAAATGCGTGAAAATTATTTTTCAAAGGTATTGACAATTTTCATTTTTCGTGGTGAATCTTGCTCGAAACGATTTAAGTGCTTCGTGGGAATGCATGGAACCATGACCTACGTTTTTTTATTTTCATTTATGACAAGCGACATGCATTGAAATTGGCAGTTTTAATACTTTAATATTGAACATAAAAATATTTTTTACTTACCTTTGATTTAATTTCGATAATTTCTTTATTAAGACGAGGTTGGATAATTTTTTTTGACATTTTTATACTTATTACGTTTTTTTATATCTTTAGCTCTGTGTGTTATTTAATGATGAATAAATTGGTTTAACTCAAAAAAACATCGATATTTAATAGAAATAAAATATAAACAAAGCGCAAATTTCTTCAATACATAACAAATTCGTGCTTAAAACATACTTTTTTATTATTTGGAAACTTTTGCTTGTAATTGATTTTCACCTCAATCGATAGCTTAATTGAAAAATAAAAACAAATTACATTTGAATGTTCATTACAATAAATAACTCGAATGCATATAATATATGAAGTAATTTTTAATACTGCGCGGTGAGTACACGGTTTAAATAAAGTTCATCTATGGATATTTTTGATTTTCACATGAAAAATATAAATTAACTCCAATCTTGAATAGTTTTTTTTGTTTCGTTTCTTTTCTGCTTTAAATATGCATCAGTTTCATCAAAAATTTCTCATATTTTTATCAAGATATTTAATTCTAATGGCATTGATATAGTATTTCACTTTTTTAATAACCAACTGATCGATACACACTGCCGCGATTTTCTCTTTCGCGTTCAATTTGTTTCAATTTGAAATAATACAAATGAAATGAAATAAAAATATTCAATATCAAAAGGGAAACACACGAATAAAAACAAAAAAAAAATTAAATAATCGGTTATAATGGAAATAAAGGAGTATGTGTTGTATTTGTAATAAATTTGATGAATAATTTACTACCATAGTTTCACACATACACACACGTACCCACAAAAATACATCTACAATGGAATGAAATTCATATACATTTCAGTGTTTTCGATCAGGGTTGCTCTCCTTTTATATTTTTTTTTATAATCTAAAGTCAAAGCACATCAAAATTAAATGAGCTATTAAGCTTTTTCTTTGAACTATATTAAATAAATAAATTAAATAGTTAATTTTCATTAATTTTGCATGACATCATTTAAAACAAAATCGTCAGTTTAAAATCTAACAGTTAGATGGAGACACTCATGCCGATTGTTAGTTATGTCAAGACAAATATGCGTCGTACTTAAATGTTGTTTCTCTTATATACATCAAACAGTTTCAAATCATTTGTCAAGCAAGTTAAGACTGGCTTTGTTTCATTCAGTTTCAATCTAAGTTTTTCATTCCCAACAAGTTATACGAAAGAATAAACATATTAAATTATTATTTTAAGCTAGCATTTTATTTATAATCACAGCAGGTGGCGAGAGTGTGAATTATCGATTTTTCTCATATGCGAGTTATTAAAAAATAAAACAAACAATAGTAAGCAGAAAAAAATTGTAGAAAAATGTCCTACAGAAACAATGAGTGCCGTATATATGTTGGGAATCTACCTCCAGATATTCGTACTAAGGATATTCAAGATTTATTTCATAAATTTGGAAAAGTTACTTTTGTGGATTTGAAAAATAGACGGGGTCCGCCGTTTGCATTTGTCGAATTTGAAGATTCTCGGTATGTAAACGTATAGAAAAACATATATTTGTCCTTATCACTCACACGTATTTCAAATAGCGCAATCGTGCCGTATCGATTTTTCATTTGAATGTATTTTTGTTTCAAATTGTGATTAAGAAGGAGCGTATACGAATGATTACATTATCAATTAATTAAATTTAAGAAAATTGAAATATGTGTATTTTTCGTTGTAATTTGGCAAATTGTTGAATATCATGTGTAAGGGTTAGTGAATTTATGTGCACTTTTAATGTTCGAAATAATTTTGAGTATGAAACAAATGGTCATGTGACAATAAAACCAAATCATTCAGTATGCAAACAAAAACTAAAAAATAAATCCAATTTAACTATGAACATTTTTGGAATATTTATTGTTAGGGACGCGGAAGACGCTGTTAAAGCAAGGTAAAATATAAAGCTCGAAAATTAAAAAAAGACAATTTTTATTTAATATAAATAATTTTTTGTATCCGGTTTCTAGAGATGGCTACGATTACGATGGCTATCGGTTACGTGTTGAATTTCCACGAGGTGGTGGTCCAAATAGCTATCGATCAAGCGGACGTAGCGACCGAAGCCGTAGCAACCGTGGTGCAGTCACTAAACGCAGTCAGTATCGTGTATTAGTTTCGGGCCTGCCTCCATCGGGCAGTTGGCAAGATTTAAAAGACCATATGCGCGAAGCTGGTGATGTTTGTTTCGCTGATACCTACAAAGATGGTACAGGTGTTGTTGAATTTCTTCGTTACGACGATATGAAATATGCGATAAAAAAATTGGACGATTCACGTTTTAGATCCCATGAGGTAATTTGGTGAAATGAAAACTACGTTTATTTTATGTTCATTAAATCTCATTTGTACTTTTTACAGGGTGAAGTTGCATATGTGAGAGTTCGTGAAGATATTGGCGATGACCGTCGATCATCGCGAAGGTATTTACTTTTACACATTATTTAGATCTTCAGTTTGATCAATGATATTCTTGATTTAACTCATCTCCCTTACATGTTTTCCATTTGATCAAAACAGTAGATCTCGTTCCCGATCGTCATTTTCACCCCGTCGTCGCCGTGACTCACCAACTGACATATACAAAAGTTCTTACAGAAGAACATATTCCAGATCTCGATCTCGCAGTGACTCTAGGTCAAATTATTAATACACCTATTGAAGATTCGTTGCAAACACACAGTCATTTTGGACTGTAGGTACGTCCAGAACGGTGCAAAATGATTGAATTGACTAAAAAAAATAGTGTAGAAACAAACAACTTCTGCAATTCAGACATTTTTTTATTTCAGGAGTACAAATTATCAAAAATTAAATGATTAAAATTTCATTAAATATATTCAAAACTAATAGCCAATAAACATTCCCTTCATCATTCTATTTTCATAAGTATGATAATCATTAATAGAAGATTGGATAAGACAATTTGCCATTATTGCGCCATCTTTAATGTCATAGATTCCCAAAAGAAGTTCCTTTCAGATGGAGCTAAATTATTATCTAAAAAAAACATAAGAAATTGTAATCCGTTTTTTTTTTATTAGAGTGAATTTTGAATATTTCCTAAAATAAGACATTTATAGAACTATATTTTACACTATACGAATATATTCTAATGCAACAATTTCACCTTCTCTTCTCTTTTTCTATTCGATTTGTTGGATGGAGCATAAAAATTCATCTGGATTAGGATTCATAGTTTAAAAAAATGCAAAGATAAATGGAATATAATTTAAAAGGGAATCAATTGAATGTTAATTCAATAAATATATAGAGAAAGAGAATGAACGGATGGAAATTTCCGGATAAGACACGAGTGTGATATTGAGGATTTTTTCTTGAATCCGAAATTGGATTGAAATAATTAACTCAAAACGCAACGGAATTCAGTCACAATCAAACGGACGTTTTGGATATGAACGATACGTATATGCCAATCAATTTGGGATGTGAAATTTACTTTTCTTTTCATTCAGATTTGCACACCAGGGATTATTTTATTTTCAAAAATATATAGCGGGTGTTTTTCAGTCATTGCGAATTGTTATTGATCAGCAATCGCCACACATGTGTTATAATAATAATAATATTAAATCGAAACTGCATAATTCAACTATACAACGAAATTGCTAGTAGAATGCACTTTGTATAACAATAATAATAATAATAATTGACAATCCGTGTTATTGGAGTTGGATTTAAAATATAATTACCCGGATTTCTATCGGACTTCTAAACACTACGCAATAATGGAAGTGTAATTTATAGATTTTTGACTGGAAGTGTATTTTCATCGGAGTTTATGAATGTCGCAATGGATTTCTTACATATGTTCAACACATATACTCACACATTTAGGACAATCGATACAGAGAACAAAAAAAAAAACTAAAACATACACTCACTTTGGACAAACAAATTGGATAGGACATTATTGAGAGTAAGAGAAATTGATATTTTTTTTGTTTTTTACTTTTTCTTTTTATTTCTTCTTTTTTAAAAACTTTTCTAGTTTTCAATTACAAAATAATGCTCTATACAAAAATAATAATAATTATAACTTGCACAAATGTCATTTCTTTTTTTTCATATATAATAATTGCATGAATTTTGTTTGAGTTTTCAAAAACTTAATACTTTCGTCAGAACTGTGCATAAAATTACATTTTTTTGTGTTTGTAATCATTATAAGAGAAATAATTCTATTGAAACATTTTTAAATCATGAAAAAATCAATAATATCATTGTTTCGTTTATCTTAAATTAGTTATTTGTAAACATAGGTGGGGATAATTTCCTCGAAAACCCTAGCAAAATGAGAAAAAAATCTTTTCGAAATCGTGAATTTTGTAAAGGGTAGTGAGAAATTCTGATGTCTCAAAGAGGGGTAAATAGTATTTTACTAAATACACCCTCCAAACCCCTTTCTATCCCCCTATGACGCAAACTTTAACTAATATCATTTTTATCGTTAGCCAGTCAACACTTGATACTTTATAATTTCTTGAATAACAATTGGAACTTCAGGACTTCACTAAATTCTTCAATTTTTTTTAAATAGAAAGCAAGTCTTTTTCAAATTTAACCTAATTATATAATTATAGCGATTTTCTTTAAAATAAAAAATTAAAATTCAAAGAATAATGAGTTTTATTGCCAATTCTACTTTTCCGGACACACCAGTGTGTAAGGTAAAGTATAAGAATCGGTCGAAAAATTAACACCCCCAAAAATTATGGTTTCCGGGTATTTTTGGAGCCAGGGAACACGAATCAGTCGTTTTTTCGATGTCCGCATGTATATGCGTGGTATAGAAACGAGGAATAGAAACTATTAGATTTTGCGCGACTTTGGTTAATAGTGTGAAGTGTCATGTCTGGTGTGATACCCATGGGAAAAATTCAATTATTCTTCCAAAAGTGATATTTTATATGATACACTCAAAAATATATATTGGGGGAGTTTTTGGCACGAGAAATCCGAATCTGATATCAGTTTTGGGGTACAAATAATTTTCGACACATTTTTCATACAAAATTTTAAAAAATTTGGATTTTTGTATCATAGCCGCATGCGTTCAACGTACATATGACTACACATGTATCTCTTCTTTCACTACGATGCGTTCACTTGGATCAAATTAACACAAAAAATAGAGTAAAATAGAGTGCGTAACTCATTTTAAAGGGTAGACTCTCTGCCACCCAGTACAAATCCGTCGAACAAGTCGACGACAGCGATTTGACAGGTGGACCACGCGAGAAACTTATCAATCCATATCAATCCCTATTAACAAAACTACACTTGACAGTTATTGTATTGAATTTTGTACGGGATTTATTTATTATATAAATATAAAAAAAA